ATCTCAACTTTCGAGCTTTCCGCGTGCGACGTCTCCTTGCGAGCCGCGTGCGTTCTCTAGCGAACCGATCGGCCGTGTTATTATTCCAACGAGTCATAAAGCATCCATATTTAGCTTTTATACGCACACCAACGTACTCGTGCACGTAGCATCCCCCTCCACATATATATATATGTGTATGTATATATGTGTATATATATATATATATATATACATATATATATATGGACACGTGCGAGCGCACTAGCGGAGCTCGTGTATACTCCGTGTTGCGTGTATGTACGCGCATGTAATCGTGTGTGAAACACGTTAACCCTATCCTTGTCGTCTTCCAATGTACCGGAATAAAGGGCTTTTCGGTCCCTTCGATAATCGACATATTTACCGGGATAGGTATAAACGGTGCGCGCCCAAGAAACCGTCCTTAACCCGTTAAATTAGAAGCGACGAGTGAACTCGTCGGCTGGAGGACGCTTCCGCGGTGCGCGAGTGCCAGCTCGTCGTCGAATATTCAAGATTACAGCCGTGTTATTAAAGTTTATCGCCGCTGCGACGGTACTTCCGACGTTGCCTTCTATTCCGTTCGACCCTTTATGTCCGGGAGGTACTTCAGTGTTTCGCTTTCATTAAACCGCTGCTACGGATATATATATATGGATTTATGTATGTATTTTTGTATGTATATATGTGTGTGCTTAGATTTTTTTGTGGTATTTGACACTGTTTCTACCGGAGGTGTCAGAAGACACCTTTAGGATGGTTAAATTAAAATTATTTTTAGAGTTTAGTGTATTCTGAAGTGACTGTTAGACTTGTTCAGTAATGATTATAAAATTAATTATAGGAAAAGTCTAAAATTCAATTGATAAATGACTTAGCTGGTAAAATAATTTTAAGTGAAAATTTCAGGTGTCAAAAGACACCTTCGGTAGGAATACTATTAGAACTACCAGATGGGTCAAAAATGACCCATTCCTGATTTCATTTCTTCCAATTATTCAAATAGGTGCTTCTCAGAAAATGTACTAGAAACAGGTTCAGCAATACACAAGCAGAATTGCGAACCAACTCAATAATTCCACTCTTCCGGTTTCTACAAAACAATTTCAAAAAGACAATTTATGCTCAGTGGTTCTAGCGTTAAATTCATTTCATTCAATCATCGTCGCATGCATTCCAGTTCTAACGGTTACGAAAGGGATTCATACTTAACCTATCAACGATCTTGAAGCTATCTAAAAATGGAGATAAAGGTGAAACGAAAATGACCAAGTTCAGGATCCAAAGTAGTCGATCCACGCTACATGCTCGATTATTTTCACCGGTGACTCGCGTTCGCAACGGTAGCGACGAGTTAACTCGTCCTGGCAACTTCGTAACGCCACGTTCGAGAATGAGCTTTCTATAAACGAACTCTTCGGTAAACAGGTTAACGGACCGTTTGTATTCTCAATGTCGAGAGTCGATTCTCGTTCCTCCATCGATCGATCGATCGATCGATCGGTTCGATACACGCACTCCCCGTTCGAGGATCAGGATCGACGGATCCTCGCGTAACGAGATCGAGATCCGGAAGCGGTCGACAACGAACGGAGTGAATCGTTGACAAATAAAATGGGAAACACCATAGAATCAAGTGATCTATAAAACATACCTTGGCTCCATCGTCTTCCTCATCTTCTTCAGGATTATACGTCTCCGCGAAGATACTCTTCCTCCTCGATGCGAACCTTCCGACCGGCGGTTCTGTAATGTTAGAAATAACCTTGAGAATCCGGCTTAAAACGAAATTCGACGAAGTCGTTCGTTGGACAACCTTCGGAATTCTACGAGACCGACGATCGTTAGAAATCTGTTAATATTATTAAAGCGATCGATATATCTCGAGTTTTAAAATTCGACCAAGTCGTTCGTTGAATGATCTTCAGAATCCTACGAGACCGACGATCGTTAGAAATCTGTTAATATTATAAAAAGCGATCGACATATCTCGTAAAATTCGACCAAGTCGTTCGTTGAATAATCTTCAGAGTTCTACGAGACGATCGTTTAGAAATCTGTTAATATCGTAGTGATCGATATATCTCGTTTGAAAATTCGAAGTGTAACGTCCAACGACGCGTAGAAAAAAAGAATGACGACCGTACCGATATCCATTGATAGTCACGTATGCAATTGTTGTTTTCACGTAAAACCGCGAGAATCGTACGGGCACCGGTCGGGTTACACGAAGCGGACTGAGGAGTCGAATGTCTAAATCGAAACAGTACCGCGAACGGCGCGCTTCTAGCTACAGAGAGCGGGCAGGTTATATGTATATCGGTCGGTTGCGGGACGACTACTGGACGCGATGGGAAGTCGCGTCCCGAATGAAAAATTCCTCGCTCGCTCTCACCTTCATCGACAGACTCGTCCGGCGTAGAGGAGCAGGTCTGCGCAGTGGGCTGAATCAACTGTAGGTGACGGCTTTCCCGTAGTTGCGTGAAAAAACCGACGGCATAGTCGATAATATCCACCGGTTGCTCCAATAAGTAGCTGATCGTGAACTCTAGCAGAATATCCCGCAACTCGTCTGGCACCGTGATCTTGCCAGCGTTCCGTTGACAACTCATTTTTTCTCGTCGACCGATGTATATATGATATGTTACGGTTTGGTTTCCGCACACGTTTAGAATGGCATACGCCGGTAAAGACGGGCTGGCCGACGACGACGAGTCCCGAGGTTGCCCTGTTATCACTGCGCGGAAAAGACGTCAACGGCGACGGCTCCTACGGTGTGTCACTTGTCGGAAAAAAAAACTGGCCGAGATATATATTCCCTGTAATCTGACGTGCTACCTACTACCGCTGGCTGGGTGCTCTAGCGAGGCACAGGAGAACGTTAAGCCCCACGCGTTCCGCCCACTTTCGCGCTGGGCCACACTACTCGTCGCAGACTCGAAACGTTATCCGGTCTCGCTGAACCGCTTTTGCCCCTTTCGTCACCAACTTTCAACGATTTTTTTTCTACCCGACACTACATAAAGCTGCGCGCAACATACGTCGGCCCAAACCGAGGGATGCGACTCGGTCGCAAAGATGGCGACTATTTCACGGCGCGGGTCTTGACATTAGCAGAGAGATCCCGCTGGACATTTAAGTGGCAAACTGCAGGCAAATTGAGCATCATCGACGGTCCCGAATATATAGATCGTAGACCAATAGTGAACTCTACGAGATACCGTAGCTTTATTACGTTTTGATATCGCGTGTACGCGCTGATACGCTCGACCAATGGTACTCTTGTATTTCGGTGTAACCTTTACACTGCCGTTCCTCTTATTGGCCCGAGCCTCTTCGTTGTAATACTGTCCACGTATCTCGACCTATGGGTATCGTGATGCATTTATATTCGATTATCTTTGATAAAAATATTTAACGAGATCCTATTTGAAGTTGGAATAATAAATAATAATTTTAAACGAGGTTTCTATGATATATACGCTCGATACTTCAGGCTGGTTTTCATTGAACCGCAGGTGGCCCTCTATGGGAGTGTATAAAACATAGTTGGCGTAGTTTGAAATCTGGAAGTGTATCTATGTTACTTTTTATTCGCGCTTCTAGCGAATCATAACACGTGGATACGTTCAAGTAGATAATCGAAATAATGTCAATAAAATGTCGAATGATTTCTGATTTATACGAGTAATAATTACTAGATCGATCGTCGCGGGTATCTACCAGTAAAATTTCAATCCTAGTTTATTTTATAACATCTACTTACGAGGAGCAGCGTACCAAGGGACTCCGGGTTACTATAGTGTAAACAAAGATTCAAAATCGCTTGTGAAATATGGCGGGAAAGGAACAGTTCGATGAATATTTAGGAGGATCGGAAAAATTGCCGAACGAGGTTCACATTATGAAGCTTGTTTCCGCGAGAGCTAGCGAAATTGCTGCGATGACACATGCCATAGGTAGGTCCAATGATATCTTACTTTCAATGTCATTTAAATCGTAGTATCGGTTACCTTTCGAATGTCGAATAACTGTAGGATTTTGTTATTTGTAAAATTACATTTCCCACGACTGTACTAGTATACATATATTCAAACGTTCGCAGAGAATCATCAACAAACGAAACTTGTCTTTCAAAAGCTGCCCGTCTACATGCGCAGGCGCGTAATGTCGCACAACGTAAAGCGCTTACCGCGCCGATTGCGGGAGGCACATTTGAATCAAATGACGAAATCTGGTTTGCCGCCAAAAAGTAAGAGACCGTCGCGTAGATACCGTAGACGGCCAAGGAATTTACTGTTGGAGTATAATAGAAGACAAAGAAGTAAAGTCTGGCTGGAGACCCACATTTGGCACGCGAAACGCTTTCACATGGTAGAGAAATGGGGCTACAGAATCGCGAGTCACGCAAACGACAGATGCTTCAAGGCAAATTATCGCGCCGTTGCTAAACATTGTTTAATGCAGGATATTTCGTACTACACGTGCATTGAAATCTATGGACCCGATGACATTCTAAAGGAGACCTTAAAAAAGCATTGCAATCCATTAGAGTTGACGTTTGCAGCAAAAATTTTTATTTCTGGTACAAGGGAAGGGACTGTAATGTTTTTTAAACAAAATGGTTATCCACAATTTCCGATTGGTCACGTGCACTTCCTGTGGAGGCCGAGTAATAGTTCAAATTTAAAAACAATATGGATTTGGGTACATCCATCGTTTCTCGATGATTTTGTTGATGAAATTGTACTGAGTTTTGACTTTAAACCAAGTGATACGGATCCTGTTCCTACAAATAGTCATACTACAAAGTTTAGTTCATATGTAAATGATGGAAACTGTAAAATGAGCATTCATAAAAATAAGTTGAATAGATTTCGTTTTTATGGACCGTTAACGTTAAACGTCCTGACGCAAACTCTGCGGATGCCGAATATTAATGATAAATTGTATTCAACAAATACAATGGAAGTGGAAGAAAATAGAATGGAGTATGAGGAAGAATGTCAGAACACTGATAAATTATGGCATAAAGAATATTATAGCAATGAAGATAACATTGAATCTTTAAATATTCAGAATCAATTATGGGAGGTATTAAAAACACTACAGTCACCTAGTCAATTGCCACCGAATATTGTTCTTGGATTTACAGTTTTAGATCCAAGATTTTGCCTGCCTGAAAAAAGAACAAAACCCCATAACACCATTTCAAAGATGATTGAATTAATGCCAATGCCACCTACAAATGCTAATTCCAGTCCAATTTGGGACCAAGAAATACGGCAGAAAGTTACTAAAACATATGTAACAACTAGTGCTATTAATAAGCTTAGAAGTGAATGTTTAGTTCCTGGCATAAATAATGATAAGTATTTTAATGAGGAGATCATGGCCAGGATACCCATACTTTTAATTCAGAAACCAGGAATTGGGAATACAGGTACTTACATGTTGCATCTTAATTAATATGTGAAATATAAAACGTTTGACATTAATATAACTATATTAACAGGTTTAGGTTCTGCGATAGACATCATTTTACCAGCAGGTTGGGCAATGCCATTCTGGCTTTCTTGTATATTTCGTTGTGTGAGAGTAGGTGCACTCCGGGAATCAAAGTCTATCGCGTTCGAGTATGGAAATATAAAATCACCAGACATCAATGATCCAGACACACCTGCTTATGCAAGAGAAGCATTAAGTACCAAAACGGAATTAATAGAGAAATATTTACGCTATCCACCAAATAGACGTGTAAATTTTATAAAACTTGGAATCTCTACCCCTTTCTATTGTGAATGGAATATCTTAATGAAGGAGTGGACAAATGTTGAAAACTTTTTTGTATTAAGAGATCGTACACTACTTGAATTGTTACGAGAAAATTTAGCAGCCAGAGAAGTTAAAAGTAAACATAATAAATCAAATAGATTCAAACCAGATATTAATTTAGAAAATTCATTTGAAAATAGAAATTGTTTGATTCGTGTTAAAGTATCAGTTTCACAAAAGGGATGTCCTAAAAGATTTGCGATAATATGTATGCCATCGGATAAGGATTTAGGAAATTATACAAATAAAAAATCTTGGTCAGGACCTATAGAAAAGCTGAATCCTGATCCAAATGAAACTACTAGGAAACAATTAAGAAAAAACCATTTAGTACTTTTAAAACGTTTAAAGAAGCAAAGGAAACGACATAAAAAATCATTAACCAATAAATTGAGCCAAATGTTAAAGAATGACTTTCAAGTCGTAAATTATGAAAACAAGAGGAAAAATTTATTAGAAATAAGTCGTGAAGCTGTCTGCAAACAGTACAAAAAAATGTCACAGTTGTACCTTCCAAATTGTGTTAATGTAAGAAGTTCTTGCAGTAGAGAGATCATGGGATATATAACGATAGGCGATTTTTCTTTTGCACAAGCAAAAAGCATGGGTTTAGGGTATGTAACATTGAATTCATTGCTTCAATTAATCAATAAACGATATGCCTTTGTCCTTGTTAGAAACACTCAAACAAGGCAATATAGATGCGCCAAATTGGAAATAATAACTTAATGAATACAAATAATGTTATTTTTTTTCTACTTTTTAATATTCTAATAAATTGTGAATTATCATATACAGTGATTTACAATTGAACTGTAATTGTTAAATATATGCTGTTAATACATAGGAAAATAAAATTTTTTTTAATTGTTAATTTTTCTAAATGTACAAATAAATCATAGAAAAAAGAAAAGAAGTTATAACATTAGTTCTATCGCAGAACCTAAATTATTAAATTTTTATCACCTATTATCAATATTATCGGTAAACTGTGATAAAAATTCAAAATTGCAGCATGACGACAAATAAATATACTGATAAGTATACATTCTGAATTCCGATAACCTTCAGTTGAACCAGTAGGCTCGCTAGAACGTTACAAGACAAAATAGCAGCCACGTTATATTACGGTCAGTTAATTTCAATTTGGAATCAATTTATTATAAAGGAAATATAAATGGCGCGAATAGCTGTTGTAAGTATATTGCAAATTCTACGTCGTAATATTTTTACTCGTTTAGAACTTGTTTAACATATATTATAATATTCCATTAAATCGAATATATAGGTAACCGGAGGAAATAAAGGAATTGGATTTGCTATTGTAAAAACACTTTGTAAACAGTTTGATGGAATTGTTTATTTAACTGCTCGCGATGTCACCCGGGGAACAAACGCAGTAAAAGAATTAGAAAAGGACGGTTTAACACCGAAGTTCCATCAACTTGATATTACCGATGATAACAGCATCAACACTTTTCGTGATTATTTAAAAAATACGCATGGAGGACTCGATATTCTAGTAAACAATGCTGCTATTGCATTCAAGGTGATTGTAATTTTTTATATATACTTTTTTTTATTTTTTGAATGTATTTGTTCAATATTGTTTTAAATATATAGGTAGCAGCTACAGAACCATTTTCTGTACAAGCTGAAGAGACATTGAAAGTTAATTACTTTAGTTTAAGGAAGGTATGTAACATACTTTATCCGTTACTGAAACCTCATGCACGGGTGGTACATGTTTCGAGCTCTTGTGGCCGTTTGTCACTGATTCCCGGTGAATCATTGAAAAAACGCTTGTCTGATCCAAACCTTACAGAAGAAAAATTGGATGACATCATGCATGAATTCGTTGAGTAAGTTAAATTGTTAAAAGATATTTGAGTTCAAACAGATTTTTATTATACTTAAAATCACAAATTTTCAGTGCTACAAAGGCAGGTAATCATTTGGAGAAAGGTTGGGCAAATTCTACATATGTTGTAAGCAAAGTAGGAGTTTGTGCCTTAACTAGAATTCATCAAGCTATGTTCAATTCTGACCCACGTGAAGATCTTGTTGTAAATTCGGTGCACCCTGGCTATGTAGATACAGACATGAGTAGCCATAAGGGAAATTTAACGCCAGATGAAGGTGCTGTAGCTCCTACCTTTTGTGCATTGCTACCAGAAAATACAGAGATAAAAGGTAAATACATCTGGTTTGACAAGTCATTGGTAGAATGGACAAAAGATATATGAAAATATTGATTGCAACAAGTTTCTTTTCTTTATATGAGGTATACGCATGTAATACGATACAATGTAACAGATGTTTTGCAAATTTAAAAATGATGTACTTTAATATTTATATTGAAATTCAATTTACATACTTATTATGCCTTTTTATGAATTTTCATAATAAATAAATCAATGATTCCTTTAAACCTAAGAACTCTATAAACTATCTTGCTGGAACTGCTGCTTCTTTGCGTGCAGCATCTTGTAGCAATTGGGTATCCACTTCATCTCCTGGTAATTGTACATAACGAACCACCGATCCTCGAATGAAACAATTTTTTACTGACAACTGAAATACATTTTATGTTATAATCACCTCTCTAATAGCATTTTAGCAATCATAAAAATTACAAACCATGTGAGGATATTTATCTGGATCAGTTACACTTATATCTGTTAATTTTATATTTAGATACTGATCGACAGAGTGTAAAGTACCGCAAATGCTAAAAACGAAAATATTTTATTAAATAATTCTCATAGAAGTGTCTTTGAAATATCACTTACTAGTTGATACAGTACCTGAGATCATTTTTTAATTCTACAACAACGTCCTTGCCAACCAGGGACTTAAAAAACGAATAGAATAACTGAAACAAAATATTTCGAAATGAAGTTATTTATTTCATTAAAAAAGTGAAGGTTAACCCGCCAAACGAAAAGAAGTAAACTCACCATTCTTGCTCAATGAAAACGTTCGATATTTATGTATATTTTCCAATTGTGTTATTTAAATAACATAATGTTTATGAAAGTGTATTGAGACTGAAGATTTACAATTTCAACAACCGGTAGAAAGTCGCTACTATGACAACTTGTTTGGAAAAGTCAGCGCGCACGTTGCTGAATAAGTACTGATAGTGTTATTTTTGGTACATCATTTAATTCATTCATTCAATTTTGTTTTAAATATTATTTTATTTAAATACACGGTCAAACGTTACGCGGCTACTAATGAAATTATAAATAAAAGACAATACGTAATGAAAACGAAATTTGATAATATTATGTTCTATAAAATATTTCTATTATATCAAACATTTCATTTGCTTGTGTTACCCCTGTTGATTGGACACGTCCATCGGTTCTAAGAACACCACCAATCGTTCTTTGCACGATAGCCTTCAAGAATATCATCAAGGATGTCTTTTCAATAAACTTTTATTAAAACATATTTTCACATACACCGAGTCTCGTATAGATTTATAACAATAAAGTGAAAGATCATTGAATTATATATAAAACGATTAGAATGCGTTGCTTGTACAGTAAGATTGCCGCTTTGCGGTTGGTACCAAAAGGGCGTTGACATTTAATCAAAAAGGCGAAACGAGAAGATGCGTCTGTGACATTAATTCGCCAGTAGCAACCTGATCGGATTCGTTGTTACTCTTGATCTCCTATGAATTGCTCGGGGAACATGTCAATTAATTTAACGAAAAATAAAGACGCCTTGGTGGCTGCCTGGCACAGCGTAGTCGACGATAAATCGTCTACTAACTGGTAGGCTTGCATCTCTCTTCCTTCGCTGTTATATTTTGTCGTCCCGGCTATGCACCAATGTTATACAATTGATGCACTCGATCGGCTAAATACCAAAAATAAATTGTATTTCCATATTTAGATGTTATTTCTCGAACCTTAGTGGTTTTATATAAATAGCCCTAGATGTACAATTATCAGTTACTGTCATAAAGTTCAGATAGTACAGGTTTCAGTACACACAATGAAACATTAAAACAGATTTTCAAATTGTAGAGTGAATATTGCTTTCTAATCAATAAGAAATATACTTTTAAGTTTATCTTAATGTATATTGATCTTGTTAGGTACTTTATATAGAATGTATGACTACTAACAATGTTGTTTATATCAATATTGTTGTACTCTGTTTTCTTCCTTTTATCTTTAAGTGTATCTTTATTATAAATTTTAAACAGGGCTGTATACGGATATGAAGGACAAACTAACAATTTAAAAGTTGTTGGAACTGGAAGTGGTGGATTGGAGGAGATGATTGACCATTTAAATGGTAGTCATATCATGTATGCCTTTTGTCGAGTAATAGACACTAAAACAAGTCTGCCAAAATGTCTGTTAATAAACTGGGTAAGATATCATGTAACTGAATTTTATATGTTTGTTTATAGTACAGTTTTAAACTAATATTGAAGTATTCATATTTTAGCAAGGAGAAGGTGCTCCTATAGTTAGAAAGGGGACATGTGCAAATCATATTAGAGATGTAGAAAAATTACTGAAAGGTGCTCATATAACGCTTACCGCACGCAATGAAGATGATGTAGAAGTAGATTTCATTATGGAGAAACTGGCTAGAGCAACTGCATCTGCGTATAAATTTAATGAACCCAGAGGTGAAAATGAAGGTAATACAGGTCCAGTTGGTACCACGTATCGAAGGTGTGTACAACATATCTTAGCTTTACTATGTAGGCATTTGATTTCTATTTTAATGAGAATATACTTAACAGAGTGATCCCAGAGCAAGAGATAAATGCAATCGAACGTGACCAGTTTTGGCAAAAAGAAGAACTGGAAGAAAAGAAGAGATTGGAGCAGGAACGTATTAAGTCTGAGAAAGAACGTTTGAGACTTGAAGAAGAAGTTAGAAAAAGAGAAGAGAAAGAAGCGATGCTTAGAGAACAACAAGTGAGTACTACAAATTTCAAATCTCCGATGTTTATTATAAAATGTATTACTGATACAATTTCAATTCTATTATAGGTCACTGCCAAAGAAAATTCAATAGCACGACAAAAACTGGCAGAACAACGGGCGGAGGAGGCGCATAATAAACGCAATCAAATGGCAGCAAGTCAACATTATAGTAACGAGCTTGAGGACGATCATAAATCGCGAAGTGAAGAGTTGCGACGTCAGAGAAGTAAAGAAACGCAACAATTAATTGCTCAAAGAACAATAAACGCGCGAGCAGTTTTCGAGCAGAACTCGGCTGCGGGTCAGATGAAGTCTACCTCGGTACAACAACAATATGTACAAAAGAATAGCCACGTGGAGGCAGCTAAGAAAGCGCTAGAAGAGGGTCAACAGAAGGAAATACCTCAAACTAAAGCACAGGAAGAAATAAAGACTGAAGTAAATAAAGCACACAACTTAGAAGCAACTACAAATACCGCTTCAAATACACCTCCGACTCAAAGTCAATCTATAGAATCTAAAACAACTGAGCCACAAGAAGAGTCTGAACAACCACCAGTGACGAAGGAAGCAGTTACCGAAGAGAACGAATTATACAGTCAAATGGACGGACAGTACTTATATTTCGATGCAAACAACGAAGGAATGAAAGCGAGAGCCTTGTACGATTATCAAGCGGCTGATGATACAGAAATTACTTTCGATCCTGGTGACATTATTACACATATAGACGCCATTGACGAGGGATGGTGGCAAGGTCTCGGACCTGACGGAACGTACGGGCTTTTTCCCGCTAATTATGTTGAAGTTATTGAGTATAATACAACATGATAAAAAGAAGCTTGTGAAATTAGAATATTTTCTTTTTTCTTTTTTTAATTTAAAAGAAACAGTACTTGCTTTTTTGGATATAAAATGTAATACAGTATTTTTGTTTCGGTAATTTCCTATTCTTTTTGTTTTTTTTAATGCAGAACATTCAATTTTAATCGTATCTTGATATTCTAAAATAAACAAGTAGTAGGTAAATGCATATATACAAATGAAAAAGAAATTACGTTTAAATTTAAATATTTGGTGCACGCTCATTAACCGAAGGAATTTTATACTTCGAATAGTAATTATGCAAGATATAATTATTGTTAATATTTTAGCGGTCAAAATTTTGAACTCTAATAGTCTTATAATGCCAATATATATACGAATGGCGAAGTACGTCTTCCCATGTTTACCGTCACGTATGAAAGAATTAGCTGTAAACGAGTATATGTTTTTATAACATCCTCTGTCGGAAATCGATGCAATTGTAAGAATAGCGTATTTAATAACTTAGCAAACACCCTTTAAATACATTTACGAGATGTAATAACTACCTACTTAGGAACACGTTTAATTCTTTAAATAAATACTTAAATTTGTTATAGTATCTTCTGATATTCTAGCCTCCAATGTCCATAGAATTTAAATAACTTTAGTTTCATTCTGTTAATACTCTTATTTTATCTCATATGTAGGTGCTGGAGCGTATGTATTAATAAGTAATGTCAAATCAGTTGTATTAAACTTAGTTTACTATGTGATATAGAAATTTTTACAGGTAAGTGATCTTATTAAAATAAAATAAAATTACAATATTAATGTTGTACAAATAAAGTAAATGAAATCATCTGCGATAATTTTGATTCTGATTTCCACTTCCACTGCCTCCTGCATGACTTAAGAAAGCTAAGTGACCCTTTGGACATTTGTTGGCATAATGACCTTTTGTCCCACATTTGTAACACGTGACTTCTTCCAAAGGTTTTTGTGGTCCTCGGGAAGGTGGTCCATTGTGCATATTCATATGATGTGCCGCATGAGAATTACCTTCTATTTCTTGTCTAACTTGAGCTTCCCGTACATCTGGTGGCATTTTATTGCAATAAATAGCTTTATGGCCACCTTCTCCACAGAAATGACACGTGATCATTACTTTCTTCCCTTCTTTTGGTTGCATATCTTGTACAGCTGGTAATTCAAATCTTGGACTAAAAGTATCAAAAAAATAATGTACAAAACATTGATAAATGCGAGTAAAATAAATTTTCAAGATCAAGACAGCATTGAACTTACTGCATGAATTTACAATTTGATCCCTCAGGACAGAACCCAGCTAAATATGCCATACAAAGAACACGTCTCACATGTCTGTGTCTACACAACGGTCCATGCCTACAAAATCCACGATCATACCAAGGACAATCTCTGACTTTAGTTTCCGGGTCAATGTGTAAGAATGGGCATTCCTTATTGTGACAGGCATCTAATAATTCATAACTGATTTTAACACATTTCTTTTAAGAAAACTTGGTAATACCAATGAAAAGAAGATACTTGATATCTTGAAAGATATAACTGTGTGAATGGTAAATTATATTCTTAGAAGAAACATAACGTACGATCCATACATAGGGCACTTACTAAATCTAGAATAGAAGTAACATTCTGGCATTTTGGTCATGTCATATTCATGTAAAAATTCACACTGATCACCCTTTTTACAAAGACCTCTCAACCAATGTTTACAAACAATTGTACGATCCCCTCTGACATGCCTAAACGGACAAGAAGCTCCTTTAATGCAGGTGCCTCTTGGATAAAACTGACATACTGCAGCAGTGGATTCTATAAACGACATTAAGACAGCATTTAGGTAAAACCCAAGAGTTGAAAGGTAAATACAATAGACGTAAAATTAAAAAGTCGAGGATATCGTTAAACATTCTGAACACAATACAGTGTCGTTTATTTAATTTCATTGGATTATACTTAAACCGAACAATTTTGTCAAGTTTATGTCGCATAAACTTTCATGTTTTCTGTTGTATAACCTAAAAACGAACGCATTCTTCTAAATTTAAGAAACAATTACGTACTGTCCATTCCAGTAAATGGTAAAGGAAGTGCTCCATACTGTTCGTCGAGAGCAATTTCAATATCAAATCGCATGTGATCCACATTCGCTACTATGCACTCCATTATTATTTCAAATCTTTCAACAATCACAGTCAAGTATACCAGTTCACCGACTATGCTACATCAACTAAATACTTCATTTGTAAACCAAGTTTTCTACACAACAATTCTTATTTCTTCATACGGGTATACATTTCAGCTATATCTCCGTGAATTCTCCATTCAAAAATATCTTTTATTTACACCGTCTATTATTCCATAAATCCTCAACAACTCTGATTTACCGCACACGCCATCGTGGTCTGTTATGTGTGCCGATGATACTGAAAACTTTCATCACAGCACAACCATCGACGAGAGACAAGATAGAGTGGAAAAATTGAGCGTTATCCTTATCCTAGCAATGAGTATGACAAAGATAGAAAATTTCAGGGGTATACGGCAGACTCGCCATCTAACGGTAAAGGTTTTGTCAGATGTTTCACCCTATCCTTGCAATGAGTAAGACAAAGACAGACATAAGGAACGACAAACACAAAGTCTGTAGCCAATGTGTTGGTAATGTCGGTATCTACTTGTAGATAAAGTCAATTACTATTTGTTATTATAAATAGTTTAACTATACATTTCTTAAATTCTTTTGTTAATACTCGTGAAATTCTTTTTGTAAATCATCAGTTATAAACGATTCGTCATAGAAGTCGATAAAAATATTTCAACATTATAATTTAGTGGACATTGTAAATGAATAAAGAACGATAAATAAACAGGCCAGCACCAGGTGGATTATTTATTGTGAAAGTATGAAGACTAATCAATTGTTATCGCGTTTTATAGATAGATGACGTCAGTGGTCACTATGTGTAGCCAATATGGCGGTAATGTAGATTGTAGATAAAGTCAATTTCTATTTGTTATTAGAAATCGTTTAACTATAAATTTTAAAATCCTTTTGTTAATACTCGTGATACTCTTTTTGTAAATAGTCAGAAACAAGTCGTCATAGAAGTTGATAAAAATATTTCAACATTATAATTTAGTGGACATTGTAAATGATAATATATCGAATAAAGAACAATAAATAAACAGGTCAGCACCAGGTGGATTAATTATTGTGAAAGTATCAAGACACATCAATTGCTATCGCGTTTTATAGATAGATGACGTCACTGGTCACTATGCGTAGCCAATATGGCGGTAATGTAGATTGAAGATAAAGTCAATTACTATTTGTTACAATTACTTGTCAGATTTTTACATGGATCGTACAATTTCGCAGCCATTAGCCTAGCAGCATCCTCGATCGGAATAACTTTATTGGAGATGCTGCTAGTTTCCAGGTCCACCACGTGGAGGTTGCTGCGAGGGACCCTGGGAGGTGGGTGGACATTCAGTTCCACCGACCTCCCGTTCTAAATCTAAGTCTTATCTTTAACGCACTTATGTCTATCGTTCGTAAACTTATAATAATCCCCCGGCGAAACGATGAAGTATCCCACGGCGGATGATCGATGTATTCTTTCGCACGCTTAATTCTAACTTA